CCCCCCCCCCCCCCCCCCGACCCACTGGGGGGATGGAAGGGACACACCCAGACCCCCATGGGGACTGCTGGCTGAGCCCTCCACAGCAGACCTGCATTGTATCCGTAGCTTTAGCCCCATCCCGAAGACTGCACTCAGCCCCTGGGTCCCAGAAGCCCCCAGGCCAGGCAGACACTGCGATGGGATGGTGAGGGGGAGGGAAGGGGGGCAAGTTTGAACAGTCTCCAAAGCATCAATCTCCCCTCTTCGCAAAGCGACCAGTAGGGGAGTCCAGGCTGCGTATCCCATGTTCATTTTGCTTATAGAAGGAAAACAATGGCAACCCTACAATAACAAACCTGCGTGTATTGACCGACGCTGATAAGCAGCCCTACACCAGCCCACTCATACCCCCAGCTCCAGCACCCACACAAAACCCTGCAACAACAAACCAACTTCCAAGCAATCTTTCTTCCCTGTAGGCTTGGGGGTGGGGGGAGTTTTTAAACCCTACGTTTCCAGCCCGTCAGGTTATATCAGTCACCTCCCAAACACAGCTAGATGCCACTGCCCGAGCCTGCGGCCAGCCAAAAGCAGTAACTCAAATGGCTCTCTCGTGACATGGTGTTAACTCTGGAACTTAATGATGGAACCGCCTGAGAAATACCATAGGTGGAGCTTCCAGGCAACTTGCAGAGTTCAGCAGCATCCCACAGGATAAGTGAGAACTTTCATGGGGAGTTGTTTTAAACCGAGAGCACATTTCATTCACTGTCCGGCTTCTCTTGTGCAAATTGCAGTCTGAGAAGCAACTGCCCCCTGCGCACTACAGGTGAGTAGCTGAGCGGCGGATGTGTGCACTGGACGCACCCAGAGCTGCCCACCTGTGTGCCATAGGCCCATGTACTGTTCATGGCGGAGGGGGAGCAGCAGAAGGCAGGGCTATGCTAGAACAGGGTGTAGGTTCTTTCCCTGCTGCTGTATTATCTCCCTGAAGCGACACGGGGTGCCCCCTACAGAGACGTTTTCCACAGGGTGCAGTTTAGGCCACCAAGGAAAAGGGTGAGAATTGGAGCTGGAAGGGGGCTGGTTCTGCAGCCGACCGAGTGCGTGTGCATCTCTGCAGTCTCGTCCTGACGCACCCAGAGGGTTACACCCCCCCAGCTGTTTGCTTCTGGGGACCCTTTCCCAGGCTCTCTCCTTGGTGCCCTGCCGATGGGCAATGCCCAGGTTCTGTGCTGCACCTCTCCGGCTCCCTTCCTTGGCTCCAGCCTCTGTCAGATCCTTTCCCCTCCCTGGACACTGGCTCCCACTCTCCCCCTGCCCAGCCCTGGGAGCAGACAGCTGGGCGAGAGGGGGCATAAGTAGCACCAACACGCCTGGGAGCCCTTCTACCTTCCACCTCACAAGGTGCGGGCACCTCTCCCAGCCCCACTTAGTGCTGGAGGGAGGGCCCACTGCCCTGAGCTGGTGCCTGCTGCCTGGCACCAGGCTGGTTCCATGCAGGGCACAGATTCCATGGCCAGGCACTTCTGCAAACTCAAGTCTCCCAGCAGCAGCCTCTGGTGGCAGCAGCCAGAATTCCCAGCTTAGGCAGAAACCCTCCGCGGCCAGGAACCGGAAATGGCAAAGTGACACTCCCATGACACAAGCGTTTGTGGCCACCCTCTGCACGTGCAGCACCTTGCACACCAGGCTCCCCAATCGCAGTTGGGGCCTGCTGGCACGACTGTAGCAGGGGGCGGAGCGGGTGCTTTACTTAGTTCTCCATTCACCAGCCCTGGAACTGAGGTGGTCACAAATGGCACTAAAATGATGAGGGGTTTGGAACGGTCCCATATGAAGAGAGGCTAAAGAGACTGGGACTTTTCAGTTTAGAAAAGAGGAGACTGAGGGAGGATATGATAGAGGTCTATAAAATCATGAGTGGTGTGGAGAGGGCCGATACAGAAAAGTTATTTATTAGTTCCCATAATAGAAGAACTAGAGGACACCAAATGAAATTAATGGGGAGCAGGTTTAAAACTAATAAAAGGAAGTTCTTCTTCACACAGCGTGTAGTCAACCTGTGGAACTCCTTGCCAGAGGAGGCTGTGAAGGCTAGGACTATAACAGAGTTTAAAGAGAAGCTAGATAATTTCCTGGAGGTTAGGTCTATAAAAGGCTATTAACCAGGGGATAAAATGGTGTCCCTGGCCTCTGTGTGTCGGAGGCTGGAGAGGGATGGCAGGAGACAAATCGCTTGATCATTGTCTTCGGTCCACCCCCTCCGGGGCACCTGGTGCTGGCCACTGTCGGCAGACAGGACACTGGGCTAGAAGGCCCTTTGGTCTGACTCAGCACGGCCGTTCTTATGTTCTTATGGCACACGGCAGACGAATTCCCAGCCCCAACCCCAAAGTCTGCACCAAGAATAGTGAGAGACGGGCAGGGAGCAAACCAGGGCACAAGCAGAGTTTACCAAGTGTGCATGGGGGGTCAGGTGCATGGCTTCCATGAGCTCCCGGGTGCCATGGTGGCCACTCCAGGCCCCTCCCATTCTCCTGCCCCCCATGTGTGTGCACAGGTCCGAGAGGCAGAAACGCCAGCCCCGCCCATGCAATACTGCATTGTGGGGAGCCCCCAACACCGCCCTGGCTCTGCTGGCCCAGGGCCTGGCCCAGCTGCAGGGTGTGGGGCATTGGCTCTGCCATTTGCGGCCCAGGGGCACCTCCCTTGCATCCTGGGCGCAAATTGTCTCTTGCTGCAGGCAGCAGCTCCCTGCCCAGGGGGTCCCCGGCCCCTCCAGCTAACGCTCAGGGCGGGCGTCTCTCCCAGGCACAGCCCAGCCCGCACGTCCAGGCATCCGCCCCGCCTGGCGACTGCACCGGAGCAGCAGAGAACAGGCCGGCCCAGGTTTGCCTGCCCTCTGCACGGCTCCGCCGCCAGCCTTCCCTTCTGCCGCGCAGAGCGAGGGCCACGAGCAGACCCTCAGCTCCGAGCCCCCAGGGATCTAGGGCAAACCAGCGGCTGGCCCCACGGGCCGAACCTGCATCTAGTGGGCCTGCACGCCTCGCCCCTGGCACCCAGCTCTCCCTGGGGGGGCAGTTAGCCTTTTGCCCCAGTTATCTCCATACATCCCTTAGGCAACCCTTCCCCCAGAGACGCCTCATCTCCATGACAGACAGGCCAAGCTGCCCATTAGAGGCTCATGAATTTTAACCCTCTGCATTCTTCCCTTCTTTCCCAAGGACAATAGGGGCTTTGAGCCCCACCCTGGGACTCCCCTTGCGGCTGAGAGATCTGCAAAGAGACAAAGGAGGGGAGGGCAAGGTGATTAGATCTCAATTACAGCCTTTTATTTACCTGAGAGTGACCCATAAACACAGGGAGGCGCCTTTGAAAGGCTGGCTGGGGCCAGGGAGCTGCATGGGAATGTGTTGCTACTTCAGTGGAGCCCTGCAGGAGAGCAGCTCTGTGGATCCTGGTTGTGCAGGGCACAAATATTAGAGCATAGTGATAGAAATGTAGCCGTGTTAGTCTGGGGTAGTTGAAGCAAAATGCAGGACAATGTAGCACTTTAAAGACTAACAAGATGGTTTATTAGATGATGAGCTTTCGTGGGCCAGACCCACTTCCTCAGATCAAATAGTGGAAGAAAGTAGTCACAACCATATATACCAAAGGATACAATTAAAAAAAAGAACAAATATGAAAAGGACAAATCACATTGCAGAACAGAAGGAGGAGGCGGGGGGGTGGGAAGGGGGAGGAAGGAAGGTAAGTGTCTGTGAATTGATGATATTAGAGGTAGGGAGAGTGGGATGTTTGTGAGTTAATGGTATTACAGGTGATAATTGGGGAAACTGTCTTGATAATGGGTGAGAAAGTTCAAAGACTTGTTAAGTCCCTGGTGGTAAGTGTCGAATTTTAACATGAATGACAGTTCAGAGGATTCCCTTTCAAGTGCAGATGTAAAAGGTCTTTGTAGCAGAATGCAGGTGGCTAAGTCATTTAGAGAGTGTCCTTTCTGGTTAAAGTGGCAAGAAACTGTTTTCTCTTTGTGATCTTGTCTGATATCTGTTTTGTGGGCATTAATCCTTTGGCGAAGTGTCTGAGATGTTTGTCCCGGGCTTTGATTCCGGGTGTGCACAGACGCCAGTGAGTGTGTCTGGCTTTGATTCCGGGTGTGCACAGACGCCAGTGAGTGTGTCTGGCTTTGATTCCGGGTGTGCACAGACGCCAGTGAGTGTGTCTGGCTTTGATTCCGGGTGTGCACAGTCACCAGTGACTGTTTACATGCAGGTATCAGTCACTGTGCGCTGCTGATCAACCGCCTCCCACCTCTTTCCTGCCCCAGCCCCAGAGATCTGCCTCCAGACCATGGGACAGGGAAGGCCTCTCCCTTCTCAGCATCTGAGCCTTGGGACCCAGCTCCTGCCTAGAACCCCACCCTCTTGCAGGACACCAGGAATGAGAGCGCTGGAGGGCAGATGCCTTGGGGAGGAGGGTGCGGTGAGACAGCAGGTCTCAGGCTACATGGTGGGCAGAGGCTGGAGAAATCCAATGTGAACTAGATCTGGCCCCAGGTGCCGCCCTGCCCCATCACCCTCTGCCCAAGGGCCATGCAGGATCGGGTGAGTCCCCTTCAATGGTATGAGGGGCCTGCTATGGGGCCAGGGGACTCCCCTGCTGGGAGAG